AAAATAAACAGGGGGAGGTTAAGAATAGTGTGGGAAATGGAGAAGCCAAAGAACATATATGTACAACCCATGGACATGAACTAAGATGGGGGAATGGTGGTAGGAGAGGAGGCACAGGGTGGAGGGGAATAAAGGGGAGAAAAAAGGGACAACTATAATAGCATAATCAGTAAAATATATTTAAAAATGTTCAACATCTATATGCATCTACTATGTGCCAGACATAATATTTGTGGCTATTCAGGGAGAGATAGAACAAGAGAGAGAGAGAAGATGGGGGGGTGTCAAAATACCAAAGCATTCTATTTGATACAGTATAAAACCCAACTGTACTATTCTGCCTGTCTTCACCTATTCCCCACCCCTACACCAAATACCTGGTTTTGGTTTTCATACTCCTGTGGTTTGTCCAGAGGCCTCTCTCTGCCTCAAAAGCTCTTTGTCAACTTCTGTGCCTTCTGCGACTCCTCCCACTCCGCCACCCTGCTTCTGCATCTGTAGTCCCCTCTCCACTGCTGGTCCCTTGGTGGGGACGGCACTGCCCTCTGTTGCTGTCAGCTGTTTGCCTTTATCCCCAGAGTATGAACTCCTGGGGCAGGGGCCAGATCAATTTCTATTTTTCTGCATGTAATCCTAGCTTCCAGCATGTACCTGTCCCCACAGCAGTACTTGGCAAATGTATGCTGAATAAACAAATAATAGTATTTTTGAGAGGAAACCAAAGAAAATAAAGATGGAAAGAGGAAACCGTATTTTCACTACAAAGGGCATTTGCCAGTATATTGGGAAATGGTGTGTATTTGACTGTCAATCAGGGAACATTAAAATGATTCTCCCCACAATACAGCTTTTTTTTAAAATGAAAGATGCTTACCTTGAAAAGGATCTAAAAGCAATTCTACTAAAAAGTGAAATGTGCTCAAATAAAAATCCCAAAACAGAAAATGCTGATGCTGAGAATATGATTTGATTTTTTTCCCTTCACTGTAGACAAGGTTGCACAGAAATCTAAGTTACTCATTGTACTTAGTCTAGGCCAGGTCAGGTGGTGGTGTTTGGTCACTCAGCAGAATTATATTCAACAAACTTCACCTTTATAGAGAATACTTAAAGAGAGCTCCAGTAAACTAAGATCACCCATCAACTGTGATTATTATAATCAGAGTGTTTCACAAAGTATATTCTAGGATACCTAAATGACTTATTTTAAGGTAGTGTCTTTGAGAGGCCATTTTTCCCCAATATACTGCCACAGATAAACACTTTGATATTTCCTCTTCTGGAGTTATTTTCACAGTCATTCAGGGACCACCCAAGATTTGTAAGAAGAAACTCACATGAGACTATATTTATTCTGTGTTGCTCCAATGAGAAAACTAAAATATATGGGCTGGTTTTTCAAGAGATTAATTTTAGTGTAATAGAAATAAGAATTTTGTAATGATTTGAGACATCCAACAATGGAACAAATTTTTGGTGATGTAAAATTTTCACTGAAAGTGTTCAGGCAAACGCTAGGTGACCACTGAACAGAAGGGATAGAGAGGATTCATGTATTTCAAAGGGACTTTGAAATCTGATAATCTGTGATTCCAAGAATATCTGAGTAATTACTTTATAATCATATTAAATGTGTGGTAGTATAATCTGCACACACCAAGCCTTTACTTTTCTAGGTATATGCTCAAATGTCACCGATTACAGTGATCTTCCCTGCATGAAATAGCACTCCCACATTCTCCTTTCTTCCCTCTTACCCTACTCTCTTTCTCTCCATAGAGCTTCTGTCCGACATAGTCTGTACTTACGTGGTCATTTACATACTCATATTGTCTGTCTCCCTCAACTATTGATAGGATACAAACTCCATGAAGGAGGGGACTTGGTTGGTTTTCTTCACTGCTTTAACCCCAGCACTTTAAATAGCATCTGACATGTAGTGTATGTTTAATAAATTGTGGAATAAAACTAATATTAAAATGTTACAGAAAAATTAAAAACAAGAAAGAAAGAGAGTAAAACACAAGTCCAGAATTTTTATACATAATTACCTATTCCTAAATTTGCATGTATATATGGGCCAATGCATAACTGTTGAAGAAGTAAACTTATGCTATCACTTTCATGTGTTTTCTTCTCGTCCTTTTCTTCAAAAAACATTTAGGTTTTCATACACTTGTAATTATCATTCATTGTTTTACCTACAATGTCATTATACAGCTGAATGATTCAACAGACTTGGCTATACTGATTGGATGTCATTTCCAAAAATCAAACCATTTTCACATAAAAAAGATGTTGTTACCACTGAGGCTACATAAGTATACTCTCAGGCCATAAAAATATCCAATGAACTCATCATTTCTAATTTCATAATCACCTCTCTCATTAGTAGCACTGAGAAGAGTCATAGTTATTTTTGGAGGCAGTAAACCATAATGAGTTAAGATGGTAAGAGTTAGCCAAAACATTTTTGCAAAAGAAAAATGTTAGAGGAGTTATTCTTACAATTTCAATATGTATTACAGAGCTATAGTAATTAAAACCATGTGGTATTGACTTAAGAAAATAGGCACAGATCCATAGAACAGATTTGAAAGTCCAGGAAGAAACCCTTATGTTTATAGACAATTAGTTTTCTGCAAAGGCACCAATGCAGTTTAATAGGGAAAAGCATAGTCTTTTTAAAAAGTGCTAACACAATTGGATATTTGCATGCAAAAAGATGAACTTAGACTCTTACCTTACATATATGCAAATACTAAGTAAAAATGGGTAACAAACTTAACTATAAAAACCTAAAATGGTAAAACACTTAGAAAATCATAGGTATAGTTCTCTCTGACCTTCAGCTAGGAAAGGATTTCTTTTTTTTTTTCCTGGGAGAAAATTATTTAAAATTTAATTTTGAAATAAACTTTTAGTACAACTAGTTCATAAATTTAATGTCTTATGATCCTGGAAAATCCTCTTAGCAAGCTAATTTTCTTTTTTTTAAATTTTTATTTAGTTATTTTTCAAGTATAGTTTTCTATTTCTCCCATCCCAGCCCACCCCTCCCCATGCACCCCACCTCCCTCCCATTTCTACCCCCCTTAGTTATTGTCCCTGTGTCCTTTATACTTGTTCCTCTAAATCCCTCCCATTTTTCCCCTTAAATTCCCTCCCCTCTCCCCTCTGCTTGCTGTCCCCCTGTTCTCTATTTCAGTGTATTTGTTTTTATTTTGCTTGCTTGTCTGTTTTGTTGTTTAGCTTCCTGTTAAAGGTGAGATCATATGGTATTTGTCTTTCAACACCTGGCCTATTTCACTCAGCATAATGCTTTCCAGTTCCATCCATGTTGTTGCAAAGGGTAGTAGTTCCTTCTTTCTCTCTGCTGCATAGAATTCCATTGTGTATATGTACCACAATTTTTTGATCCATTCATTTACTGATGGGCACCTAGGTTGCTTCCAGCTCTTGGCTATTGTAAATTGTGCTGCTATGAACATTGTGGTGCATAGGTTCTTTGAAATTGATGTTTTGGGGTTCTTAGGATATAATCCTAGCAGTGGAATTGCTGGGTCAAAAGGCAGGTCAATTTTTATTTTTCTGAGAAAATTCCATACTGTTTTCCATAATGGTTGTACCAGTCTGCAATCCCACCAACAGTGAACTAAGGACCCCTTTTCCCCACAACCTCTCCAACATTTGTTGTTGGCTGCTTTGTTTATGATGGCCATTCTGACTGGTGTAAAATGGTATCTCATTGTGGTTTTAATTTGCATCTCTCTGATAGCTAGTGATATTGAGCATTTCTTCATGTGTCTCTGGATCTTCTGTATGTCCTCCTTGGGGAAGTGTCTGTTCAAGTCCTTTTCCCATTTTTAAATTGGGTTGGTTGTCTTCTTAGAGTGGAGTCATGTAAGTTCTTTGTATATTTTGGAGATTAAACCTTTGTCTGAGGTATCATTGGCAAATATGTTTTCCCATACAGTTGGTTGTCTTGCTAATTTAATACTGTTTTCTTTAGCCACACAGAAGCTTTTTATTTTGATGAGATCCCATTTGTTTATTCTTTCCTTTATATTCCTTGCTCTAGGGGACATATCAGTAAAAATGTTGCTGCATGAAATATCTGAGATTTTCCTGCCAATGTTCTCCTCTAGGACTTTAATGGTTTCAAGGCTTATATTTAAGTCTTTTATCCACCTTGAATTTATTTTGGTGTATGCAATACCTGATATCAAATTGTATTACAAGGCCACTGTAATCAAAACAGGCTGGTACTGGCATAAAAACAGACACATAGACCAATGGAACAGAACAGAGAGCCCAGAAATAAACTCAACTCTCCACAGTCAATTAATATTCGACAAAGGGGGCAGTAACATAAAATGGAGTAAAGATAGCCTCTTCAACAAATGGTGTTGGGAGAACTGGACAGCTACGTGCAAAAAAATAGGAAAGGATTTCTTACAGAAGTTCAAGCAGCAGGAGAAAAAATTTGATAAATTGGATTTCATCATAATTAAAAGCATTTGCTCTTCAAAAGTCACCAATAGATAAGCCTCCGAATGGGAAAAACTATCTGCAAATCATATCTCTCACACAGCCCAGAATATATAAAAAATATGGGTCCCAATTACAGGCAACCTATTTTTAAAATGAGCATAAGATTTGAATAACTATTTTACCAAAGTAGATATAACATAGCCAATAAACACAGGAAATGATGCTCAGCATCATTAATTACTAGAGGAATGAAAAATAAGATGACAATGAGATATCATTTCGTGCCTATAAAAATCAGAAAACAGAAGCAATAGCAAATTAGGATGTGAAGAAACTAGAACTCTCTTCATTGTTGATGGGAATGTAAATTGGTGCAGTCATTTCGGAAAATAGTTTGTCAGTTTCTGGAAAAGGTAAATGTAAATTCACCATATAACTCAGCAATTCCACTATTGCATAGCTATCTACCCACCCGAGAGAAATGAAACACATGGCCACACAAATACTTGCGTGAAAATGGTCTCAGAGCATTATTTATAATCCAAACCTGGAAACAACCCAAGTATGTTTATTCATTCACCAGCTGTGGAACCTATAAACAAAATATCATACATTATACATGTATCGATAAGTGTCTATTTTAACACATTTACATTTTAACAGATTTTCATCTATGTGTTAAAAATTATACATTTACAGCTTTATACACTATATATTTCATCACATTTACAAGAATATGAACAAATGTATGATTTTTGAATTAGCTTCTCTTTAGCTTTCAGCTCAGACACAAATATGAGTTCAAAGTCCAGACTCAACACGTCTTAGCTCTGTGGCCTTGGGCCAGTTACTTGACCTCTCTGAGTCCATATTAGTAAAACATGGGTAATAATATATACCTTAGAGAACTGTAGGATTAAATGAGATGAAGTATAGAAAATGCTTAACACTAGGCTGACACAGTGTCAATTCTTAATAAATCATACCCGATATTATTGTTTGTCCTTTGGAGTTTTCTTTGCAAATCTCATTGTTTACTACCAGCTGTGGGCGAGGAGAAGGAAGCCATCTTGTGCTGTGGAGAAAGCCACTTCTGCAGTTCTGGCCGTCTCGACTGCAAATTTTTCACCTAATCTCCTGGAGCCTTGTTTGCCAAAGTCCATAAAGGCAAACAAGTCCTGTAAAGTCCTGTGAGATGTGAGGCATCTCACAGGACTTGCTGTGATTAGGGAAATTATGTTCAAGTGCTCTGTAAACTACAAAATACAAGAAACTCTAAAGGGCTCTATTATTATACCTATCTACTCCCATGAATGCCACCCACGATATGTTTTTAGAACATATTGAATAACTACTCAGAGAGGAAGGATGTGTAGTCATTTCTCAATCTCTAAGATGATAATAAATCTTTTCATGGCCCCAGTGGTGGGAGCAAGTCATTTTCAAAATAAATTGTACCCCCCGCCCCTTTGTTTGAATATAAAGTAAAAACTGTGTTATTTATCCCTGTCTGAAACACTCTCTGCCTGTCCTCACGAGCTATCAGGCTCAGCTAAATCTGTCCCTGGCCAGTGTGTGCATAATCCCCACTGGTTCTGAGACCTCCATCCACCACCGATGTGACATTCTTTGTGTTCAAATGTCTAGCTGACGTCTGATGCTTAAAACAGCCCATGCTTTCACCTCTCCCCGCATTGTCACAGCCCTGTATCACCACTCTTAAAAGGCTATCGCGGCCACTCCGAGCACCAGTTGCTGACCAGTCTGCCGCCTCACCTCCCCGCCTGCTTCTGGCTGCCTTGAATGCCTGGTTCTTCAAGCTCCTTTTGGGTCTGACACAGCAGGGACCATGTCTACCTTCGGCTACAGGAGAGGACTTAGTAAATATGAATCCATCGATGAGGACGAACTCCTTGCTTCCCTATCAGCTGAGGAGCTGAAGGAGCTAGAGAGGGAGTTGGAAGACATTGAACCCGATCGCAACCTTCCCGTGGGGCTAAGACAAAAGAGTCTGACCGAGAAAACCCCCACGGGGACATTCAGCAGAGAGGCACTGATGGCCTATTGGGAGAAGGAGTCCCAAAAACTCCTGGAGAAGGAGAGGCTGGGGGAGTGTGGAAAGGTAGGCTTTCGGGACTTTTCCTCGGCCGTTCCCAGTCCCCATCACCCCACCCCAAACCTAGGAAAGTGTTTTCTCTAACTCCGCAGTCCTCTGTATATTTCTTGTAACCTGCTACTGAAAAATGTCTCAGGTTGTAATAGCCCCGTAACATCTATGGCCCAGGGGATCATAATATGCAAAATGATGGGCGGGGGTTCTGTAACTGTTAAAGGAGGAATCTTCAAGGGGAAAATAATTCACAAGCGAGGCATAGGTTTGGATATTTTGCCAACGTAAGTTTAATCTGAATTATAAGCTGGAGATGAGGCATAGTATCTGTTTCTGAAATATATGTACAAGGAGATTTCTTTGATAAAGAAAAAGGTGGGCACTCTGGGTGCTTTGAGTGTGATAGTGGCTACAGTAAAAAGACTTCTTTCTTCCCAACACCAAGAAGTGTGGGGTGCTAGGAATGGACACGGGGCGGAGGGCCAGGGGGCCTTATTTCTAGTCCCTTTTCTGTCCCTAAGTCGTTAGACCGTGAAAAGACAGTCACTTCTGCAGGGTTTTCTTTCTCATCTGTCCACCGTGGGAGGGGGAGCCAGTGGTTTTCATGTGTGTATCAGTCAAAAGCCCTTGGAGATTTGGGGAAGTTATGGAGCCTCTCCTTAAGAAAATGCATGTGTGCTTGTGCACACGTACACAGGTTTTCTATGGAATTGCGGGATGGTGACCCGCATCCGGAGCCCGCCCGAGGGCCCAGGTTAAGCACACCTGAGCAGGTGGTCTCTATGATTTCCCTCTCCTTCACACTATTGATTCTGAGGCCTGGAAATGTAATACTTACATTAGAGCATAGGTCTGTTAAGCTTTTGTTCTCTGGCCAGTAATCAATTTCTTTTATTTGCTAAATGAATCATTAACAGAAGGAGTTCAAAAGACTATGCTCTGGGAAAATAGCAATGGCAATAAGAACATTAATATAACCAATTTCTGAATTTCTGGAAGAACAGAGAGCAGGAGCAACCAATTAAAACCTCTGTTCTCCACAGGAACTATCTAAAGCCAAAATGGCCTGCAGCCAATGGTAAGGCTTCCAGGGTACTAATCTAGGCTCTGTTAGATGATCTTGATGACAGGGTATGTGGGCCACATTTGCAGCAAGACGTGTGTGAGCTTTGTCCATGTCAATCACCCCAGGAAGGGTCACTGGGATCAGGCCAGGGTCTGCCAAGGCCATGGTGGCCGCCTGCATGAAAGGGCTGGAGGGGAGGTGATAAGGAAGGACACACACAGCAGGCCAGGATTAAGGTCACTTCCCCCACAGCCATGACTTTTAGAGGCCTTTCCTCCGACCCCGTAGTGAAAATGCATGTCAAAATACATAAAATAAGACTTTTAATACAGTTATTCGATCATTTCCTTAATAAAAAGACTAAAATAGACCCAGAAGATTGAGGACAGACAGCCATCATAGCAATACCCAAACAAAGGCATTTTAATGTCATAACGTCTTCAGACTGGTGGGAAACAGGGGTGAAGTCTGTTGCCACTGTTAAGGGAACCCACCCGGTCCTGCCGAAGGCCTGGCTGATCCCTGCCGATGGCTTATCAACTCAACTAGAGAGGCTGCCGTGTTGATGAACTTTGATTCCTTTCTTGGCTAGTTTTTCTCCCACTGCCATTTCCCCACTGGCCAGTGGTCTGTGCAGCCACAAGGAGTGCTGAGCTGGCACTTGCTGGTGGAGGGTGTAAATCCATTCCCACCACAGGAAACGGCTCACAGCAGCTGATGGGTGGGTGGCTGGGGGCACGGCAGCGGCAGCACGAGGAGCAGCACAGTACAAGCGGTGAGGAGAGGGGGTCTTTGTTATTCGGCCACTGGCTCTGGATCACATAAAAGTTTTGCTACACTAAGTAACTCCAGAAGATCCTGGGGACCAAGGCTCTAGCTTCCCTGGCTTGAGTATCTGCTGGGTGTCAGGCATAAGTGCCACTGAATTCACCCACCTTATATCACTGAATTCTAATCTTCTGCCCATGAGAACTTGGACTAAGAGAGGTTAAGAAATACATTTGAGATCAATTCAGAAGTGACCTGAAATTCAAACCAAGCTCTGCTGGCACAAAGACCACGATTCTCAAAATGCGGGTGCCTGACCAGCAGCACCATCTGGGAACTTCTCAGAACTGCTAATTCTACGCTCCCTCAGCCCTGCTACATGAGGGAGCCACGCAGCAGCGCCCGAATCCTGTGGTCTCACAGCCCTGCGTGTGATTGTGACCACTCTGCAGTTTGAGACCCACTCAACAACTCTGGAGTTTCCTGGAATAGTTTTCAAGCCCAGGAAAACTGGGACAGTTGGTCACCCCACCCCTACTCTGACCCATTAGTATTTCTCTGCTAGACCCAGTCCTGAGTAGGAGGCCATTAGCCAATATTATTTCACATCCATTCAGGAAACAAGTATTTATTTCCCCCTGCTGCATGCTGAGCACTGTCTTTACCCTGCTAACAGTCTTTTTGGAAAACAGCAAACTCATTACAATAGGCACTATTTGAGGGAAGTATAATTCTGTGGGAATGAATTACAAGGATGATTTCAGGGGATGTCAAGAAAGGCTTCCTAGAATAAAGTATGCTTATTTTGGAAAACATCTCTTGCAGATAAAGCCTAAAGTTCTTTAAAAACATATGTGGATAGCCCTAGCTGGGTGGCTCAGCTGGTTGGGGCATCGTTCCATATGCCAAGAGGCTGCAGGTTTGATCCCCAGCTGGGCACATACCTAGCTTGTGGGTTCCACCGCTGGTTGGGTGTGTGTATGGGAGGCAACCAACTGCTGTTTCTCTGTCATGTCCCTGTCTCTCTCTCTCTCTTTCTCTCTTCCCCTACTTCTCTCTCTAAACTAATAAAAACCAAAGTGGATAAAGTTTAAGGGTGGCACCAAAGGCTAAATATACCTTGAATTTTGAGACAGGCCTTCCTGCAAATATGGAAACAGCGACACACACACACACACACACACGCACACACATGCACACACATGTTTACCTTCTCCTGATCTTAAAGAAGGGAGTAAATTAAGACTGGACAAGCCAGCCCAGGAGTGGCTGACCCCTTCCCCAGGCCATCACTTGGTGCCTGCCACTCCAAACAAGTGGATAACTGGAGACTATTTGGTGATAGCAACTGGGCAAACAAACCCAGAGACAAGCAAAGTGTTATCCAAAGCTCATTCCACATGCCTCGGGCAGCAGGAGTCCTTGGGGTAAAAAAAAAAAGCTGCCAATGTAGAGGGAAGAATCAAGGCTTAGGGGGGACATGGGAAAATGTAGTTTGGTCAGCAATTTCCAATTTCTTTTTTTTTAATCAGAAAAGGTAGCAAGAAAAACAGAAGGGGTCCGTTGGACTTCTTATACAGAGTCTTATAAACAAGAAAGGCAAAGATAGAATGAAATAGTGTTTTGCCTGAAAGTCTTTCATAATTGATACGTGTTCAATAATTTAAGATCGTCAGGCTGAGGCAAAGGCTTGCTTCAAGATTTTCTGCTGCTCTCTGCTGCTCCTCATCACTGGTAGAGGTGAGCGAGAGCCAAGGGTGATGACCTTTCCCGCCTCCTGTCTTCTGTGGTCCGTCTCAGTTAACCCCGACCTAGTGTGAGATTTCAAGTTGATTTGCTAAGGGCGACCTACATATTTTTCTCTTGCTGCCCTGATGGCAGCCCTGCCCACTGGGGTTCCTCTCCCAGATCAGGACAAGGACAGCAGCAGCTCACAGCTGGTGTGGGGTCTCCCAGACCGTGGGCCAGGCTCTACCCTAGACGCAGATAGAAGTTGGAGAAGCAAATGACACCCCTATCTCTGCCTACATGGACACAGGCAGGGCAGAGATCACCCGGCTCCTGTCACATCTGCTGTAAGAGATGTTCGGGGAAAAGTTTTGAACATTAAGAAAGGGAACTGCCCTGGCTGGTGTGACTCAGTGGACTGAGCAGTGGCCTGTGAACCAAAGGGTTACAGGTTCAATTCCTGGTCAGAGCACATGCCTGAGTTGTGGGCCAGGTCCCTGGTTGGGGGTACATGACAGGCAACTGATCGATGTCTCTGTCACACATTGGTGTTTCCCTCTTTGTCTCCCTCCCTTGACCTCCCTGTAAAAATATAAAAAAATAAAACTAAAAAAAAAAGAAAAAGAAAGAAAGGGAACCCATTCACCTGTTGTGTGTTTTTGTTGCCATACAGTTGTTTGGGATGGAGAAATAAGCAAAGACAGAGGGGTGAGGGGTGATTCCAGAAGGGAGGTTTGAATGACAGTTTGTAAGCAGACTGGGAGTCACGAAGTTCAGAGTAGCTAATTAAAGAATAAAAAATGTATCAAGGGTTTCCCAAATAGGTTCCAAATTATTTGTTCCAAGTGGCAAAACGATAGTAAATTTTAATTCAATAAATTGAATTCTGAATAATTATTCTGCAGAAACAAAAGAAATGTTTGCAGTAAAAGTTGTTGAAAGGTATGCAATGGAATGTTAACCTTGGTCACCAAGGACATTAACTTTTCTCATTGTATATTTTTGTATTACTTGCGATGTGTTACTTTTTTATTTATTGAGATATAATTGACATATAACAATGTATTACTTTTCTGTGTACAGCATAATGACATGATATATGCATACAGTGTGAAGCCATGTTACTTTTGTAAATTTTAAAAGTGTGCTTAGGAATGACAACGTTAATGGTGATGCCATGCTCTTTAGGTTGCAGAAGAAGACAAAGAGGAGAGTGAGGAAGAGCTCATCTTTACTGAAAGTAACAGCGAGGTTTCCGAGGAGGTGTACACTGAAGAGGAACAGGAAGAGGAGGAGGAGGAGGAGGAAGAAGAGGAGGAGGAGGAGGAGGAGGAGGAGGAAGAGGAGAACAGCCATGATGAGGAAAGCGCAATCGAAGACGAGAAAGAAATTAATGGCAATGTAAACTATGATAGTGTCAACTCCAACAACTCTAGGCCACAGACATTTAAAAGTCAAATAGAAAACATAAACTTGACCAACGGCCACAGTGGAAGGAACACGGAGTCGCCGGCTGCCACTCACCGTTCCGGGAACCCTACGGTGATCGAGGACGCCTTAGAGAAGATTAAGAACAACGACCCCGACACCACCGAAGTCAACTTGAACAACATCGAGAACATCACCTCGCAGACCCTCGCGCGCTTCGCCGAGGCCCTCAAGGGCAACACGGCGGTGAAGACCTTCAGCTTGGCCAACACGCACGCGGACGACAGCGCGGCCCTGGCCATCGCCGACATGCTCCGAGTCAACCAGCACATCACCAACGTCAACATCGAGTCCAACTTCGTCACGGGCAAGGGCATCCTGGCCATCATGCGAGCTCTGCAGCACAACACGGTGCTCACGGAGCTGCGCTTCCACAACCAGAGGCACATCATGGGCAGCCAGGTGGAGATGGAGATCGTCAAGCTGCTGAAGGAGAACACCACGCTGCTGAGGCTGGGCTACCACTTCGAGCTCCCGGGACCCCGAATGAGCATGACCAGCCTCCTGACGCGGAATATGGATAAACAGAGGCAGAAGAGGATGCAGGAGCAAAAGCAGCAGGAGGGGCACGACGGAGGGTCCAACCTCAGGACCACGGTCTGGCAAAGAGGAACGCCCGGCTCCTCGCCCTACGCGTCTCCCCGGCAGTCTCCCTGGTCATCCCCCAGGCTCCCCAAGAAAGTCCACAGTGCGAGGAGCCGCCCCGCCTCGCCGCCTCCTCCGCCGCCGCCGCCCCCTGCGCACAGGCTGCCGCCCCCGCCGCCGCCGCCTCCTCCTCCGCCGCCGCAGAACAAGCTCATCACCCGCAACATCGCCGAGGTCATCAAGCAGCAGGAGAGCGCCCAGCTGGCCTTGCAGAACGGACAGAAAAAGAAAAAGGGGAAGAAGGTCAAGAAACAGCCAAACAATCTCCTGAAGGAAATAAAAAATTCGCTGAGGTCAGTGCAAGAGAAGAGAACGGAGGACGGCTCCCGGCCCTCCACCCCGCAGCGCTCGGCGCACGACAGCCTCATGGAAGCCATTCGGGGCAGCAGCCTGCGGCAGCTGCGGCGGGTGAGTTCCCCGCGGGGCCCAGCCCGCCTCCCCCAGCACAGGTCACTAATTTAGTGTTTTAATATGAGGAACAAAGCTGCCGAGTTTGCGACAGCAGGACCAGGTCCCTAGGGTGCAGATTTCCGTTTGGAAGATGTGCCTGCGCACCGTTCTTAGGTCCTTTAAGGGCCGAGCCCATTCAAAGACACCCCGACACATAAAAATCCCGATTTCCTTAGTGAAAAAAATCAGGGAGTAGAATCCGCACTCCAAAACAGATTAATCACTTGTGACAAATTTGACCACAGTGGTTTCAAGCCCCATTTTTAGCGTAAAATTCGAATACTGGGCTGCGAGAACCAATCTAGCTGTGCGTTCCTCTCAGAGAATACTGCTAGAGACACATCTGACGCTTGTTTTTCACTTGATTACTTGTATTGTTGTTATTGAAAGAAAATCCCCTGTTTTTGTAGGTGGAACTTCCGGATGCTTTGCGATAAAACATCTTTGGAAGAGGATACAGAATTATTCATTGGTATTAAGTGAAGTGCATTGTGAGATGTTTCTAAACTACCTTCTTCAATTTGCAATGTTCTCTGACTTTAAAAATAGCCTCACCCATTAATTCCAAAGAGAATTTTAAGAAACAATCAGCATGTTTCTTCTGTAAATATGAAAATAAACTTCTTTTTTATGTCATGAGATGTGTATTGGCTGGAAGCAGTTTATTTAAAGATAGTGTTCATATCTTTGGATGTGTTGATAACTCTGAGCTGTAATGAATTAGTGAAATGTGCTGTTATTTTTGTAATCCCAATACATTTGGATTGAAGTTTTTGTTTTTTAAACAAACTAATATTTTTTGTTCGTTGATACACTTTCAGGTGTGTATGTAATGTTGTTAAATATTAAATATATTACATTCTCACCCAAAAAGGGTTTGGGTCCTTAGCATTTGCCTTTCTTTGTTTTTTTGCCAAGAATATTTGATCAGAGCTCTTTCTAAAGGTCTGGAAACAAAAACTTTCTTTAAAGTCTTCTCTGCAGTGAGATAAAAACTCAGGGAAGACCCTGAAACAATCATTAGTGTCCTGGAGGCAGCGATATTAGACCCAGGATATCGGCTGACACCCTCAGGTTCCCATGAGGCTGATAGGTCAGTGCAGTCATCTATAATTAAAATCAACTATTTCTGGAACAAGAAAAATTCAAAGCTAGAAAGTTATTTGGTAAACAGGAAATAAGCGTTAGGGGCCTGTGCAGAAGGCAGGCCCCCTGAATTCGGAACGACCTTGTGGCTGGTGCTCAAGATTCTCGCTTTGAGCTGTCCTGGGACAAGCCCTAGTCCAGTGGGTCTCAGCCCTTTTTGTGCACTACACACCTAGCAGTGATGTCCACAGCCATGACATAGGTCCAGGGAGAAGAGCACATGTGTGTGCAGCCACAGAGCATCACTATAACCCGGCTCCCTCTCACTCAAGAAAGATCTGAATTTGGGTGAGACAGGCCTCTCAGAGATCACCTTTGCTCCAGTCTGATGCTTCTCTCCAGTTGATAAAAGCTGTAGATCCCCTTTAAAGTCCCTTGTGGTGACCATGATTAGCAATGTTTCCCTTGTGTTCTTCAGGGTAGAGCAGTGTGGCCTTGGTAAGCCCTCTGGGCCACCCATTCAATCATTGTTTGCTTCATATACAAAGCTTTGGATTACCTCAGTTAAAATTACCTTCAATTTTTACCAGAACATTCTCAAATAGTTCCTGAGTCTGTTTCGTTTGGTCTGCCATTCTCTTAATAAGAACAGCTGATCATTTTTCTTGAGGGTCCCAGAGGTCTGTGAGCTGGGTTGTGTCCTGACACTGTGTGCGGAGTGACTGACATTTTCTGAACTATCTAAGCTGTCGCAGGAACTTTTCACAACAAGACTAAAAGCTGCTATCCCACTTTACAGAGGAGGAAACCCAGTTTCAGAGAGGGTAAGGTTGCTTGTGAAACCAGCTGCCTCTGACTCTATGGTGTATGCCCCTCTGCGCCTGTCAGCTCCAGCCTCCCGAAGGTGCCCTGTTCTTAGGACAGCAGTGGGGAGTTCAGTTTCCTTTGGCAGTGACTGCACTATTTTCACTAGCACTCACAATCATGCCCATTATTGTTCAAAGATATATAAGCTAAAACATAAGTTTTTAAAAGGCACGTGTGAGTATGTGAGTGTAAGAGAGAATTTAGAACAGAGAACCAAGTCAGACCTTCCTTTCCCCGATCCCTGTGTGTGCATGAGGACAAGTCTCTCCAAAATGGGAATGGCTTCCAGTTCCATCACGACGAGGTAGAGGAGCAAGTGGTTGCTCCTAAACTGGGTGGTTGATAAGACCATGCATGAATCCGCAGAGAGGGAGTGTGGGCAGCAGCCCCACCTGAAGTGAGGGGAAAAGAGGAGCTGCCAGGCTGGGGAGGCTGGCCAGGCCTTCTCACCAGGAGTGATTAGGAGACAAATACTGGTTCCTTTGCTCTGTAAGAGGCTGCCTTGCTGGAACTTTTGGAGCTCAGGAAAGAGCAGCATGTACTTACTAGGTACATCACAAAATGAAATAAAGATGTGGAACCTCATGCTCAATCTACAAAACACAATATTATAAAGCCAATAGCAAGACAAGTATGACCTGATCAGATACTAAGGGAGTACACTGGTCATTCAGGAAAACATTCCAGAATGTTATTCCAGAAGACAGTCCTGTAAACATGGAAGGTGTTATTCAGCACAGGGCAGACATTCTTAGTTCATTGCTCCTGTGAACTCAGGGAGCAAGTATGAAAACCAATTAGTTCATCCTCTATAAAGAGCTTTCAGCTCACTGGGGGAGATGATGTCCAAGGGCAGATGAAGTGTTTAGGCTATGATTTACATCCGCACATTAATCTCTTGAAGAATACCTCGTCCTGATTTGAAATGGGGCCAGGATGCTGAGACTCGCTGGCTCCAAGGGCCCTGCCGCCACAGGTATTTAATAACTCAGTGTCAGCAGGGTCTTGATTTAATACCTGCCCAGCTGTAGCTGCTGCAAGTGAGTGAAAGGAGGTAGCAACAGACTGCTATGCTCTGAAGACTGGGGAAAATTGATACATTCTTAAAAATACCTTTTAACTACTTCCTTTTATGACAAAGTTAACACTGTCTTTTTCTTTGTTTCTCAGGTTTAAGAGCTACAGTTTTATTTCCATCAACCATCAAATAGCATGATATAAAAAACTAAAAATTGACCTAAGAATTATAAACCTCAGAAATATAGTACTAACACAGACGCCCTTAATTTCCTCACATATTTTCCGAGTACTCACCCTATCCCAGATACTCTTGGACACCAAGAATACACAGCCAACAAAGAAGGTAGAACCACTGGCCTCATGTACCTTACATTCCAGTGGAGGGAGCTTACACCAGTACTTCATACTCATGCATTTATTTATCAAGCGCCTCCTGTGAATGAGGTACTCCGCTCAGTGGTGAGGAGATCAAGCAAGTTGAATTAGAAAGTGTTCTGCACCTGAAACTAGTGGGAATCCGAGGAAAATCACCCCTTATAGGAGATGTGGCAAGAACTGAGTGAGAGGCAGGTAGACAGTCCTGTGTGGGCACCGAGGAAGCCTCATCTAAAACTAGTGTTGGCCACATTTTTCTGCAAAGAGCTAGAGAGCAAATAGACATTGTGAGCCATTTGGCCTCTGTCTCAACTACTCAACTCTGTTCTGGGGCAAAAGCAGCTGTACACGATGCATGAGTGAAGGAGCATGTCTTTATAGACTAAAGTTTTAATTTTATATACTTTTCATGTGTTGTTAATTTTATTCTTTGATTTTTTCCCCTACCACTTACAAATGTAAAAACTCTTCTTAGTCTGCAGGCTGTTCTTAAATAGGTGTCAGATGGGTTTTACATGTGAACTGGTCAAACTTGTCAGCAGTTTACTGCAAAGCCTTGATCAAGAGCAGATAAGGGGTCAAGAAAAGCTTCTCAGGGAAGGTGACTGGATTTTTAAAGAACAGAGAAAATACCAGGCTAAAAAAGTCAAGAGATGGGGTTGGGGGTTGAGAAGGACATTTCAGTTTGAGAAAATAGGGTGTTATGGAAAATAGTAAAAAATCATAGGATTAATGTATTTCTATAAAAACGCCTATTTGGTAAAGTTAATATTTATCTTCTTTTCTAATGTTGATAATTTTGATGGATTAAGTATTGGCCTTTTCTTTTTACAAAGTAATGCAAGATTATTAAGAAAAATCAGAGTATGCAGATAAGCAAAAGAAGATAATGAATGTTCCAAAGTCCCACCTACACAGAACTCCTGACAACCCTTTAGTATCTATTCGTTTAGATCCTTCCTAAGGAACATTTAAACACACGTGTAACTGTTTTCTATGAAAAGGGGAGGATGGCGCACACACCATATGCAACCCATCACATCTTACTTGAGCAATTTCAATAACTGTTGGATATTTAGATTATTTCGATTAGTCCCACAATGTGGATATTTAATTTGTTCCAACTCATGCTTTTTTTTTATAGTGTTTCAAATTTTTAAAAAAGATTTTATTTATTTATCTTTAGAGGGGAAGGGAAGGAGAGAGGGAGAGAATATCAATGTATGGTTGCCGCTCATGGGTCCCCTGCTGGGAACTGGCCTGCAACCCAGGCATGTGCCCTGACTGGGAATTGAACCACAATCCTCTGGTTTGCAGGCCGCACTCAATCCACTGAGCTACACCAGCTAGGGCTTAACTCATGCTTTTGTTATTCTAACTTTTAACTTTTCCCAAAAATCCCTTGAAGGAATGATGGACTGAATGATTGATAGCTCGTAGCTAGACTTGTGCTGTGTGGTATTACTGCGGTACACCCAAACTGGAAAGGAGGTTTCGACCAAATTGTCATGTTTAGCAACCTCTCAGCCAAATTATATGCTGATATGAACCTCAAAGGCATGCACTGCTAAGATGCCCTTCAAAAAGTCCATATAATTTTCAGTTTCTGAGTACAAAGGCTGGATGGATTGAGAATCACAGGGGCCTGTCCTGAACAACATGAGTAAGCTAAGGAATGTGGATTCAATTATGAAAGTCATGGAGGGCATCAAAGGATGTCAAGAGGAGTGACATGATGTTTAATTAGGTTTCGAAGATGTGACTTATGTGACCAGGGAAAGGATGGACTCAGTGAGGCCCGTGGGGGCCCAGGCAGAACGGTTAGGAGACTGTTGTGAGAACCTAAGAACACAGTGATGCAGACTTGAACTGCGAGCGCTACGTGGGTGTGCAGAGATCAGAACGGACAGAGGGGAGACTAAGGAAATGCACTCAGCACAATTCCGTTGCTGGTTAGATGTAGGGGGCAGGAAGTATAACAGAAGTGAGGCAGCTACGGTGCCACTTAGTTCCTGGCTGGGCCATTTGGGTGGATAGTGGTGCCACAGAATGGGATGGGGAATACAGCAGGAGCAGTTTGGGGGTGAAGAAGATGAATTTAGTGAGTTTAGTCTTAAGTATGTTGTTTTGGAAGTGCCTGTCCATTTGAATATGTGGGCTTAGAATCATGGGGGTGGGATTTGTGTTGGCAATAAAGCACAAATTATTGTGGTACGATTTAAAGCACAAATCATACCACGATGAATCATACCACATGTGTGGGATGAGTGGTATTTAAAGATGAGGCTTTG